TGGACTGACACAAAGAGACTGGGCGGCACAAATCTAGCTTTGGGAAGCCATTTCAACAATTGCCGACACAGGGTACCGCTGTTCAGATAAAAGAAGAAATTACTAGCTACTTAGCTACGACTGAGGTATAGTATAAGCTCTCCTAGGTTACCCAGCCGACGAAACTATCTCACTCCCTCTTATCGAATTCAGTGGCTATGGCATCACAAAAACAGGCCAAGTTTATTCAGTGTCGCTTCTTGACTGCGATCGATCGCCACACTGCCCTAGGAAACCAAGTGATCTCTTAGAGGCAGTAGCTCTTTTATCCTCCGTAATTGTATCCTGGCCACTACGACAGTTCCACCTTCGGTTCCGAGGATGTCCACGACGTGGTAGTGCAGGGACGGCGACTTACATGTAAACTATTTTTAAGAAGTAGTACACTTGCGTTGCATAGACCATACTACAGTAAGCTGGAAATATGATCTTAAGTTTCTGTCAGGAATAGGGACTCTCCATCAGAGATGACGAGGCACGTTAGTTAAATGGCTGATCTTCATGCCTTAAGATTGCTCAGATTGGACAAACGATACCCGTTGGATTAGAGTACCTGACTCAGAAACTATCCATCACGACTAAACGACAAACAGTACTTTCAGGTGAGAGTGGATTGGGTGCCAGGCGTGAACTTTAGTTGATAGTAGTTGATTAGTAAAAAATTGTAATAGTAGTAGTAACAAATTTGTTAACAGATCGTTGGAATCGACGGTTTTTGGTTGTTTTGAGAACCTACTGTCCACAATTCTATCGTATTTAGAGGCCCTGACGCGTTCCAGAACAGTCATCAAACTAGACCGATCTACCTCACGAACAGCATCAAGTAATACCCTTACCACACATTGGGAGGAATTAAAATTTCACTTATTCTATCATTAAACAAATTACAAAATATAATGAAGAAGGTGTAGTGACTTCGCAGGCTAAGCCATGCATGAGGCCACACGATTGCGGTCCGCACCTGCCTCTGGGGCAGGCCGCATGTCTGTTTCTCGTGCGCCCCAGAGCGTGTCAAAGGCTGGTTAAGGTCACAGACGTGTGTTCACCCTCTCTCTGTTTTAACTGGCCAGTCACTTTCCAAGGCCGATCCACAAAGGACCTTATTGTGGTGATTGCTTGCACTCAGACCACTCCCGGGCCCGGCGACCACACTGCCGGACTGCGCTCATCCGAGAGTCAATTTTCTCTTACCCATACTCTACTCCTTCTGCATTTAATTAAACTATTCCTAACACATTGGCTTTCGACATCTTATCTTCTTGTTTATAACCGTTGAGATACTTCTATCGGTATCAGTAGTTTAAGTAGTGCACCTCACACAGCCCTAGTCCCAGCATTTTTTTCGGCCGAACTACTACGTATCCTACAAAGGTGAGGTTAAAACTTGGCAGTGTAATCAGTTGTAAACGGACTTCTTGCAATCGTGTCTAACCAGGAATTACAAAGTCTTTGATAGATCCTACCCCTGCCACCCCCTGTCCCCCCGGAATTGACTTTTAATTTAACAACTTTTTCATTTGGTAAAAAAGGTTTTCGAGTAAACGCACGCTCTGCTCTGTATTGTCCTGTAAGTCAGCTTTTTTTCCGGTATAGAAGCAGAACACGTTTTGTCTGTTGTTAAAAACCCAAAATGGGGTTTCCAAAAATACAAAGAGGTCGAAACTGTCCGTAGGTCACCTACTTTCGGGACTTAAATGCACAACACCGAGTGGATGCAAGGGGTGTAGGGGGGTGGGGGGTACAAAATGAAGCATGATTTGGAAATTTCGATGGTTGCCGCAACGCCACCAATGTCGGTCCTCCACGGCAGGACAGTGAAAGTGAAAGGGGGTGTCAGTATTTAACCCAGGGCTTACGGTGACTGTTCTGCAGATCCTCCTTCCTCTCCCGCACTTTTTGCAGAGAAGCGATCGTGTGCCGCAGGAGGTTATCCCGTACTGCTGGTCTCACCTTTCCTGACCGACCGGAGAGGGAGGAAGGAGACCTTGGTGGCGCTGCCCCCCGTACATACTTTGAAGACGGTGTTAGCTGGAAGGTGGCTGTGTGATCTTCGTTTCGCAACCTCCGGGCATTCTTGGCTGCGTAAATCTCATTGATGAGATCTTTCCATTCAGCGTTCCGCATAGACTCGTTCTTTGTATCCCAGGATTTTGACCTTCCATCCCCAAAGGAGCCAGGAAATCTGCCAGAATTCCTACTTACCGCCGGTCGGGAGCGCAGAAATGGGGCCGCCTTCGTGACTACTTTCTCCGCCCTATCTTTTTCTCCGTCTGCTCTAACGATGGAGCTAGACCTGAGACTGCCCCGCGTCGATCCCTTGGACGTACAGCCTCTGACAGAGACTGGAGTGGGGCTGGGAAGTCTATGAAAGAAAATATGCCTGGGCGGCGAATTGGCTGAGAGGTGAACAGAAGACCCAAGATAATTATTGTAGTCACCGGACGAATCGGTCCCTGTTGAGTCCCCCCAGACCGCGGGAGCGTGCGGTGCTTTGGTAGGGCTTAGAGTAAAAGCAAGAGGGCCACTTGGGTTGAGTTGGAAACTAGGGTAGGCTTTCGAGTTTGTTTGACAATCCTCATCATAAGATCCATGCGTGCGATAGGCGTGTACACCATACGATTTGGTGTACTTTCCATTTGGTAGAGATGAACCAGAATGGTTTCTTAGCTCTTCCTCATTTTGTCCTGAAAAGGCTGCCCTGTGGGATTCTGCTCGTTTATGGGGATGATGATGAGGATCGAGAGCGCATTTGACACTGTTCAGGCTTTTATTGCGAGCCTTGGGCTTAGCAGAGCCCCGGCCCAACGATCTGGCGCCTCGCTTAAGAGTCATCTCGCCCACAGCCCCGTGGGAGGCTCCAACTCTGCCTGAGGGTCCCGCCCAGTCTTCCCAACACTGCGATTCAGCGGTTCGGGGCTTTATCTCTGGCTGCTGTCGAAGCCTACTTCTTTTGGCAATAAGTTCCCTCAGTTCGGCAATACACTGCCGCGAGGTATCAACAGTCCTGGTTTTTGGGATCGGTGACAGGCAGATCTCGTTGAACTCCTTTGGAGAGCTGATCTGCAAACTAGTTTCCACAGATTCCACTGAGTTCGGTTCTTCGTCCTTTGGGATGGCTGGCTCTGATTCCTTGGGATGCTCGGACCTAATAGCTGGAGAGGTGAGGGTTCCAACGTCGGCAGCCCTCGACGGGCCCGCGAGCTGCTGCAGTTCTTTCAATGAACTGGTTATCTCCCTCCAGAGATTATAAATTACTGTAAAGTCTGGGTTTTCTTGCCCCGATAACTTGCTGGGCTCTGCGATCGGCTCTAGGTTTGGTACGGAGCGAGAGCGCTGAAGGCTTTCCTCTGAAAATTGTCTCTTGGAGCACTCATGCGACCTTCCACCGTGTGTCAGTCTGCAGATGGAAGCGCTGTGAGTGCGATGAAGTGCCCTGGTGTCACAGTTCTCCTCACGCAAGTTGGAAAGGTACCGATGGTAACGGCACAGCCTCCGCAAACTTCCTGGCAGCATCTCCGTCCGACATGAGTGTGCTCCTCTGGGAAGCCCTAGTTCACTTAGCTTCCTTTGAATAGCCTCAATGCTGGCGGAATAGGATATGGGAACACCAGAAGTCTGCACGGACTTGGTGCTAAGTATGGGATCTTCGAAACTTTTGAGTACAATAGCTACGGGCAGTTGCTGAACTAACACACTCACACAAATAGACAGACTGTTTTCCACTCCTCGCCGGTAACGTTCCCTGCGATGCGTATCAGCGTAAATCCGCCAAGAAGAGGGAATTTTCAGGTCTTCAACTTCCTGAACTGGCAGTGCCTCTTCTTGCAGCTGCAAAATCTTCCTGGAATCGGAAGAAAAATTGGATAAGCAGGCAATGTCCTCACTTGAGGAGAGTAATTCGAGCGTACTACTAGTACTTTCATCAGCACGGCTTGCTCCTCTGTGGGTGTTTTCACAGACCGCCTCTCTTGTAGGTTCCTCCGAGAGCAGGTTAGCTTGTTGATCTACTTGGAAGCTGCGTTCTACCTCCTTCATGACTCGAATGACGTCTAGAGTATCCTCATCACTAGACTTCTCCCCCAGCTCATTTTCCATGCTCCACAGAAGACTGGAATCAAAAGTGGTTTCATCACCGAAGCTATCAGGAACTCCGCGAGCTACTGCTTCGGCTACCCGATAAATCTCATCGTCATCATCCAGCTCTTCTTCCTTAATTCCATGCTTCTCATATCCCAAATTAACTCTTTCACGTACTTTATCCTGCCTATCCTGATCTCTTTGTTTTGTAGTCCTTCGAATACGACTCCCTTGCGTGGGACACTCTTGGCGTTGCATGCTTTCAACGGAAGTTAGGCCGTTTAGACGGTCTTTTTGTTGCAAAGACGTAATAGTTTTAATAAAATCGTCTCCTTTATGGGACGTTCCAATTGAGGGCAGAAACTGCATGCTATCATCCTCCTTGGAATTAGTTCTAAGCCAGCCAGTCTCGATCGCCGGAAACACTTGGTTTCCTCTGTGTCGCCCGTCTTGCATGTCACCAAATTGCACGTGCCCGGAGGACGTAAATGGTCTCGCGTGCTCGGTCGATGGTGGCGGAGGAGGTGAGAGTAAAGGACGGGAAGGGCGGTTAATTAGAACTTGTGAACACAGACACTGGGAGTCAGTCGTGGCGGCTACCCTAAGCGCTGGTTTCCCACCAGTCGCTACATAGCCGCGACAGCTTGCGGCCGACAGTGGAACATACTTCGTCTCCCCGGTGGCCTGAAAGGTGACACGTGAGTGGGCTTTAGGGGTCGGTTGTCCATCGGTTGCATTGGATACACTTTCTACCACCGGAGTGACGCTTAGCTGGATAGAAGAACTGTAGAAGGAGGGGGCTTCCTTGCTTGACCCGGCGCTAAGCAGTTCAGGTCGTTGCTTTATCAGCGCGGTTGGTGCCTTTGGGGTAGACGGGTGCAGACTGAATCGAGCTCTTCGAGTTACGCCCGACTTCCTTCGCTCAGATGAGGTCCCCGGAGAAACAATAAGTGAAGGCCTCTCGGTTGTTCCCTGTGGGGGATCGGAAGAATTTGATGCGCTCTGGTTGTTTGGTGTTTGAACATTACTTATTACCTTCCTCTTCCTTGAAGCTTTCCTTTCCTTGTGGACGTAACTATAAGCAAGGATTTCCTTATCCGCTACACCCCTTTTCGCGTTGGAATTCGGTTGCATTTGTGATCTCCTTGCTTCTGATTC